GCAGCTTGAAGCTTGGAAATGATAATACAAAGAAAAACGGTCTTTATAATCCTAACCCTCTCGAACGTGATTCTGAAAAAAAAAATATCAATTTCATGGCTTCGTCTCGATTTCCAATTATCATTCTCACTTCTCCAATCTACCTGAATTCTGGGTGAAGGATTTCTATCATTTTTGTTTGTTTTATGACTTCAATGGATTTTAGAGCCGAAAGTGCCTTAGGTGAAACTCGTAAGGCCTCGGGCAGAGGCAGAGTTCACGCGATTTGGTCGTCGCGATTGATCGTAACAAGACAACTGTAACAATATCATTGCATGCCGATCTTCTTGCATTTCGGATGTGATAGTTTTGCAACACGACTGATCGTGACTGACTATCACAACCGAAATACAAGGACATCGACATGCAGTAAACTCGTAACACCCGTCTTGTAACGATTGAATCGCGACGTAAATCGCGTTAACTCTGCCCGAGGCCTAGGGGGGAAATTGAGTATTACCTTCAACGTAAGAGACGACTTTCGTTTTTAGCAATCATCTTATAATGCACCAATCTCGCTTAAATGCCCATCGAAAGTAAATCCTAAAATTTTGCTCAGTTGAACTGATAACGACAAAGCATATCACTAGAGCTTTAAACGAAGACTGAAGTCAACTTCATTTTTCATTCTCACCGTCGGTCTTTTGTGGTTGAACTTCGAGGACACCTCGAGCATATTCTATTCTAGGTGCTTCCTTTCGTTAGCTCATTGAGCTTAGGATCAGCAAATAACAGTTACGCAAGTTGTATTTTCAGCAAAACATTGTGATGATTTCTACTTGCGTATCAACAGCATCCTCATTCGACGAACAGATGATGCAAGAAGTGTTGGATCAAGCAATCGAGGTTAGACATTCTTTGTCTATATTAAAGACTGAGGTAGATTTTAGGACACATGCCGAAATTTTGGTCTGCTCTCCCCATACAATAATGATCTCAATCGTGGAGACCAGGAAGTACAAAATTCAGGTAGATAAAAAGACGAAGGCTTGAAATATTTTAGTTGCTGCAGAAATCGTTCTTGTAGAACAGAATCTGAAAGTGTTGAACACCATAGAAGATTTGACGGTTGACGAGGACTGTGGAATAACATATGACGGAATGATCAGCAAAGAGAGAGCGAAAAAGTTCCCAACGTCCTACTACCACGTCGAAGAGATGAATAAAGGACCAGGTAGTCGCAGATTTTTTTTTTGGAGAACTAGCCACCAATGAAACTTTATGTAGACAGGAATTATTTCAGTCGATTACGCTCCTCGCCTGGCAAAAATTCCATCGCAATATCAACTTGAGTCGTTGACTGAGGTGTACATGTGCGATTATCCTTCAATGAACAAATGGTAGGATTCCTTCTGATACTTATCTCGTGGCTAAATTTTCCCTTTTTTAGCGGTGACATACCACATAAAGGAGAATTAGAGGTTGATGCACCTTCAACAAACATTCCACCAGATCTGCGTACTGCTCCAGCAACAACTAATATTTGCCAAGTGTTTTCGCAATATGTGTCCGAGATGTTGTATTAGACATCCATGTTTTTGAGCGTTACACGTTCCAATGATAAAATGCAGGATTTGACCTATTTCATAAAAATTTGAGGCCATCTGCATTAATGTGAACTTTAAGGGGCCGGGCATACTTCACGCGATTTCAGTCGCGACGCGATTTGGCAATATTCCAACTGTTCATAACTCACTGTTGACACTTTTCAAATGTATAGAAGATAGGGCATTTTATCAAGCCACGTAAGTTATACACACTATGCATGTGTAGCTTGCTAATGTTAGATCTGAAGACTTCTGGCGAATTGCCAAATCGCGTCGCGACTGAATTCGCGTGAAGTATGCCCGGCCCTTAATACGTTTGTTCTTTTAAAATGACATCAAAATCATTCGCACACGAACAATCCGGCGCTCAATTATACGGGCTGCTAATGAATTAATTGCTAAATAATCCGCTCAATTACTGCTAAAGGCATGTAGTATACAACTGTTAGTACTAAAACATCTAGCACTAGTTTCGCAAAAACAAGAAAAAACCTCGTTTTCTCATCGTCCAGCTGAGAAAAAAATACAGCAACTGCATAGAAGAATGTCTTACGTGGAACGTCTACGCGTGAGCAAGTAAGAACATTTGTAGGAGTTTTCCTAGCGGAATTACAATTTTGTTTTGATTTGCCTTAAGGTTTTCGGACGCATGTCTTTTTTTTTAGTTTTCGGCTCAAAACTTCGCGTGGATCAAAGCTGGTTAGATATTTGACGACTGTCTTGAAAAGCTATGTAGGTTTGCTCTATCTAATGATATATCAAATCCTATTTAAGATATAGGAGATTCCGGATTATTGCGGTCTGTACCTATTTTGGGACTATGCACCAATGATGCACAGCATTGGCAGCAACTACAACTTCTCTTCTACCCAAAAAGATGCTTTCTTTATCAATAAGGCATTCTTAGAGATTGATCGTCGTTAAAGGCACCTGTTGAATGCAGGAATGAAGTTGAAAATCAATAAAAGGCCTCGGGCAACTTCATGCGATTTCGATCGCGACGCGATCTAGCAATCTGCCAGATGTCCTAAAATGCAATTTTTGCGGATTTCAAACTCGCGGTATATATGGTTTTCGCAGATTGGCAAGATGCCCTATCTTCTGTAAATCCATAATGAGCTTATAATGAATTATAAACGGAGCATTGCCAAATCGCGGCGCGACTGAAATCGCGTGAAGTATGCCCGAGGCCAAACACGGTATTTTATCATTTCAAATTTAATGAATCCTTTCTAGCACCCATCTTTCATACTTTGTGCGCTAGACAGAAATGATTACTACGACAGCTTTCGAATCGATAAAGAATGTTAGCTTATATTCCCACTATGTACGGTAGCAGTTCTGGAGCTAATGATGTAGTTCTCATTTCCTCTTTCTTCACATAGTTTCTCAGTTGCAGAAAGCAGTGGAGGGGTGCAGTAAATTCCTATGGTGATGCATAATCAACGCATGTTACTTATCCTTGAGTTATCCTTGAGCGGCAGAAAAGGTATAATCCATAATTTATACGCTATATCACTCGATAGAGCAAAGCAAGCCTTACAAGATGGTGTTCAGACAATCACAAAAAGTTTGATAGAGGGGGAAGAAGAAAAAACTAACAATATGCCTAAAAATCATTTCTCCGTACAAAAAAAGCCTGCGGACCTCCAACTTGCTAACGAAAGTTACTTGACGCACCGCCTATGCAGATGTACACTTGCCGTATTTTCTTCCACTAGAAGTTGAGAAAATATTCGGTACATTCAAAAAAAAAATTAATACTATTTCCCCGACAGATAATTTCATACTACAAGCCTTTGGAAGTATAACAATAACTTTCAGAATTTTTTGAGCATTAATTGTCGAGAGAAATCAAAACTAACATGACCGGAAAAGGCGACATTTTCTAAATTTTGGTCTATTAGGTTGTCCCGAAAGTTTTGTCGGTTTTTTCAAATCACTATAAAACTACGCACAATGAAGACCTGAATGAGTTTTAACATGCATTCGATGCAGCTTTTCCTTCTCATTGTTATGGTTACATTTAAGAGCCAAGATCCTGTATGGTTATTTTGATAAATGCCACAAATCTTCACTCGTCATTTTTAACTGCTTAAAGTTAGGCTAATTTTTGAAAATTTTATTCCAAATTTTTGGAAAGGACTAAGCATGGCACAAATAGAACAATTCTCGGGCTATACGGTAGTATTTCCAGATTCTTCTAAATTGCTGTTTCTAGCTTCAGAGAATTATTTTTTCGGAGGTCTCGATTTCTGGCAAAACCATGGAACATGCAACTGCGGCAAAAACATGAAAGCTTTCGAGATTTTTGCGAATTGAAACTTGATTGCTGATAAACAATAATTATGCAACAATACTAAGTTTAATTTGCTTTGAAAAATCAGCTTTTTGGAATTTTTGGTAATTTTACGTGGTAGACGTAATCAAAAAGCCGTGGTTTTTCCTAAAGGAATAATTATTTTAGGACTTGATAAACGTAGCCCATGCAATCAAAAATAAGTATAATGTAGCCGAAGAATGGCTCTACATAACAGTTATTAGCGCTTTTTGAAAGTAGCGGGAGAAATTTTTTTAAAAATCAGAAAAGATATGGCGTTACTGCTGAGCTGCTCAAAAAGACATGGCGATAACATTGCGAAGAAGGGTAGATCAGAGAACGAACATAGCTGTAAGAAAGAGGATGAAAATCTGAATCAGATGATACCTAGACCTTCCTTGAGTTGGTGTTCTGTAGGTTTTGGTGAGCGATGGAAAAAACCGGCAAAATTTTCGGGACAACCTAATATTTTTATTATTGGATTTCTAGGCAGAAAAAAAATGCGACAAGTGTGCATATGAATATCTTTATGCATAGTATATGGTTGACCAAGGAAGAAGTTCGCAGCTTTTAAGAAGGATTCTCAATTTCGCTATTGATTTCATAGATTTTTTTCCACAAACTTCACGTTGATCGAACATTTTGCGAGATACAGTTAGGTGCAGATACTAACTTGTAGAGCCTGCTTTGCTCTATCGATTGATGCATTTTATGCATTTTTGCATCTTCTCAGCCGCTTCAGGATAACGAACATGCTTGATATAATACAACATTCAGTCAAAGTGATATCGAACAGAATGGATGTCCGTAAAGCTCACTTTGAGGTTTAGATTTTAGATCAATGCACAGTAATTTTCTTGGCGGCCAATGGCAAGGGAGGCCACTTTTTCGGATTCTGTGAAGCGCCCTCTCGCCCCCTAGAATTGTCGCAGACAGCGCAATCGAATTATTAGGTCTCAAATTTTCTGCTGGAAACTGTTACAGAAGCATAATAGCTAGTTCAACATCCTCTTCTGAAGTTCACATTTTTCACTCCTACAAATCTACAGGATAAAAAACAACGCCAAAATCCCGCCCAGCTATAAGCAACTCACTTTCATCATCTCCCAGATGTACGCCCATCGTCGCTTCAGGGCGCCAAAGTACCATAACTTACGTCGTCGTTCTTCGATATGACGGAACCAGCCAGCTCCGACATCGCCAACACTGTATATGGGTTTGGCATCTGCGTTTTCCTCACCCTCCTAGAATACGAATTTGGTGATACGAGGCTGGGACAACAATTGATAACTAGCGAGAAATACCTACCACGCTGAACTCAAAAGCTCTGACAGTACGTATCTGATTCTCAATCAGGGCCATAGCGCTCTCACACATTCTTCGTACATCATCGGAAGATTCTAGACAAACGTCAGAGATTTACAGAAGAAAGAAGAAGGCACATCATTGACAACATACCAAACACAGTCGGAGCTAGTCGTTTCAAGGAAAGATTATCATAGCCGCCAGGGAATACACCGATAGGAAGCGCAGGATTTTCTCTAGAACAACCAACTACAACCACATGACGTAATGTAGGTTATTTGAAGCATCACCTATTCCGTAATATTCCTGTCACGACCGTCCCTAGTGTCCCGTCACCGCCAACGACGTAGACAGCATCAGCTTCTTGCGAATCTACAGCAGCAGCAAGCGCTTCCAATTGGCTCTCGTTATCGGCCTGAACAAATCAAGCGTCTATTTTTCATAATTGAATAATATCGGCAATTCGGTAAGAAGGCTCTTCCTCATTACCAGATGTCGCACCAACAAAAGAGATTATATAAAATGCTTGCATTCATATCATGATTCCTTTGATACCAGCTACAGTTCCAAATTTTGTTTTAGAGCATTCCAAACCAGCTCTTTACACCTAAGTTTTTCTCATTCTGAAAGAAGGACAATTCTCAGCTAGGCAAATATGATACGAATAGGATAATGCACTTATTGATGAGTACATAAAATTATCATATTCTATAATAGGAAAAAAATGAGATAATCCACCTCGCTCGGATATAGCTTTCCATCGTAAGATATTTTACCGATATTCGAGCTACTTGTGGATTAGTTCCTAATTATGTTTTAGCGAAGCTCAAACTTCTTTCCAAAGGATCGTATTCAATACGTAATTTTGCTATTCATCATAGGTCGGAAGGCTTCATAAAATTCATTGTGATCAATCCCTCATTATGTTCTGCGCGAAGGCAATGGCTAGGGCCCTGGGTACCGATATGCGATGTCTAGCCGACATTCCCTGGTTAGACGTTTCCAGATTGGCTTCCGAATGCTTCAAGAGCAACCAAGGCCAGTTTGCCGTCGCTGCGGGTAAGAATTACCAGCGGTTAACGTCCATAAGCGTAAACCTTTTGATTTTACAAAAAGCAAAAGCAAGCTCAGGGTTCAAGCGAACAACCAAGTTTTTGCGCAGCCGAAGTTTCGCAAATCGCAAAATTCAAAGCAGATTTTGGAGTGATGAATAGCTTGTTAGCAACGAATCCCAATGATTACAGCGTAAGTATGGGTACTAACTAGCACAAAAAACCAGAGTGAACGTAAAATTTCAAAATCCCCACTAAAGTGTGTTTTACATATAATAATCCGCTTGAACGAGGCGTGGGGAGGACATTAGGTATCGTAGTGCAATGTACCCGTGTGTACGTTCTGGTAGGGCCTCCCAAGCTGTGAAGGAGTTCGATATTTCCGGCTTCGTCCGGGGGAGAAATATCAAACCTTTTACAGCAAGAAGAATGGAAACCATAGGGCAAACGTAAACGAATTTATGCATAAACATCTGGCAAACTGAAATCCTTAACCAATTTCACGGGAAAACCATGCTACTTATTTCACCAGCTTTGCGGTCATAGAATAACCTCCAGGAGTAGCACCAACTCATAGATGTGAGCGTCCACTTTATCGGGAAATCTTTTCCTTGACAGCTTCAGCTACCTCCCCTTCCCACTTTCGTGAAGATCTTCGCGAAAGCTTGGGGTAGTTACAAAAGTGGTCTGAGTATGTGTCTGAGAAATCATATCCCCGTTCATATTCTTTCATTACAGTCTACAATTTCATTATTCATTTGTACTAAATTGGAAATATGAGCACTTGAACAATACTGTCGAAAGCCAATGCCAATATCTTTGACTACAGAGTTGCGTTTTTTTTTTTTACAAATTCTGGGCTTAGAACTTGCCCGAGGACAATGTGTAGGTTCGCGGCTTTCAGGTGTTTACATTCCCAACAGTGTTAAACGTCATGACATGACGTGATACAGGGAAATTCCATCTATATTTAAACAGTTCCAGCTCGCTTAGACTTCGAGCCTGTGAAAATCTGCAAATGTGTCCAGGATTTGAGAGCAAATGAGCAAAAATTTGTTTATGGAGTGCATCATCTGAAACTTAACGAGATCGAGAAAAAATACCTTGAGTATGTCAACTTGTAGACCGGCGAGATGCATCAACGGCAAGGCGTTTTTCGTGAATTCATCGTAGCTACTACGCTCATTCGCCGATACATTTGCAAGTACCAGCACTCGACGAGGTCTGTCCTCAGCTAAACTTCTTGTTCGTAATCGCAGACACTTCAATTATCCAAAAAAATTATACCTGATATAGGCTGATGTCCAAATAAACGGGCTTGTCGTGCATAAGCCGTGCGTATTTTGCTGTTCCTGAAATTACTTACTTCAGAGCAGTGAAAATAAACAACAAGAGCCTATCGAAAATTCAACTTCGTTACTCAAGGTAAACAGTCATAATGAGATTTGTTCTGCCCGCACATTTCCTCCCACTCCGCCTCCTTCCCATAGTTTTAGAGTAATTGCAAAATTGCATTATTTTGCAAAGAAGTTATTCACAAGCTTTTTTCTTCGTATAATTTCACAAATAAACCTACTGATTTTATACAAGCAAATGTGGTGCAAAGCTGACAAACCCTGAATTTTACGAGGAGAACATCATCAAAATTACGTTTAACTCTCCCTGACAAACTTCGTACAGCTTTCATTTTCTTTCATTTCGTTCGCATTCACTGTCACCTGCCACCTATAAACTAATTCATTTTCTCCAAAAATTGAGTAGCAATTTTTTATGTCTATGATCATATAATAAGAATAGGTCAATCTTATATCTGAGAATCCATTTTGTCTTTGCACTCAAGACAAATCAAATTACCTTCCCCCACAAATGAATTTAGCTTTTCTCGCACCAGCCGTCCTCAAACATCTTTACCCTGCGAGGACAGCTGAACTCAAAAAAGTAAATTCTTCACATGTGCCAAGTCGCCGCATACTTGCCGCCGAGATAAAGCAGGAATCCAGCGAAGATGGTCTTCTTTTTGTGCTCGACTAGAGTCTTTCCGATTTTCGATATCTTCGGGACTCTGGTGAAAAAACTCGCCATCTGGAACATGAAGATTAACCATGAGCAATAACAAAAGGTTGTGGAGTTCTACGAAAACATAAGCCACATACGGTTAATTTATTGCCTCGAAGATATTTAGATGTAGATTAAGCTCAGTGCAATGAATTTTTTTTTCACTTTTCCGTCGCATGTGATTCATGGAACTCCAATTACAGGAAACTTTGCATATGTGTCATACTTTTTATTAGAAAATTTGACACACAGGCGCTTGCGAAATAAAATGTAAGCAGAGACTAAGTTTTTCACAGCCTCAAAGCAAGCCCCAGTTTGAACTTACAAAGAAATTTGCTAAGTTCCGAAGCTGTGCAAATACGCTAAAGTAAAAAATAGTTAGTTATCTGTGAAAAAAGCGAAAGAAGGAAGTAAAGATTGCATCAGTTCCAAACTTCACTGATAAACAGATAATCTTACTTATGTGAATAAACCATCTGCCGTTGACTCTTGCCAAGTGAAAAGCTCCTTATAATTGAGAATTTATAATACTAAAGTTTGAGATAAAGACTGCATCAGTTCCAAACTTCACTGATAAACAGATAATCTTACTTATGTGCAGAAACCATCTGCCGTTGACTCTCAAGTGAAAAGCTCCTTATAATTAAGAATTTATGATACTAAAATGTGAGATAAAGACTGCATCAGTTCCAAACTTCACTGATAAACAGATAATCTTACTTATGTGAATAAACCATCTGCCGTTGACTCTTGCCAAGTGAAAAGCTCCTTATAATTAGAAATTTGTAATACTAAAGTTTGAGATAAAGACTGCATCAGTTCCAAACTTCACTGATAAACAGATAATCTTACTTATGTGAATAAACCATCTGCCGTTGACTCTTGCCAAGTGAAAAGCTCCTTATAATTGAGAATTTATAATACTAAAGTTTGAGATAAAGACTGCATCAGTTCCAAACTTCACTGATAAACAGATAATCTTACTTATGTGCAGAAACCATCTGCCGTTGACTCTCAAGTGAAAAGCTCCTTATAATTAAGAATTTATGATACTAAAATGTGAGATAAAGACTGCATCAGTTCCAAACTTCACTGATAAACAGATAATCTTACTTATGTGAATAAACCATCTGCCGTTGACTCTTGCCAAGTGAAAAGCTCCTTATAATTAGAAATTTGTAATACTAAAGTGTGAGATAAAGACTGCATCAGTTCCAAACTTCACTGATAAACAGATAATCTTACTTATGTGAAAAAAAACCATTGCCGTTGACTCTTGCCAAATGAAAGTTCCTTATAATCAAGAATTTACAACACTAATATGTGAGATAAAGACTGCATCAGTTTCAAACTTCACTGATAAACAGATAATCTTACTTATGTGAATAAACCATCTGCCGTTGACTCTTGCCAAGTGAAAAGCTCCTTATAATTAAGAACTTATAATACTAAGGTGTGGGCATACTGACTAGGCAAAGGATACGAAATCATAATGAGTTTAGCTTCAGAAAGCACCGTAAGGCTTCGGGCATAGTTTGCGCGAATTTAGTCACAACGCGATTTGGCAATACTCCAGATGTCCATAACTCAGGCCCTTTTAGAAATTTCATAGATTTACTATAATTATTACATACAATGTGCAACTATATTCAGCCAGTGTACGATTTACGATTTAAGGACATCTGGCAAGCGGCCAGATAACGTCGCGACTAAAATCGCGTGAGCCATGCCCGAGGGCTACCGTGAGATTCTAAACAACAGATTAAGCGTAATTAATTACACTTCAGATCATATTCTAGCTGCTGCTTCTTGAATGCAAAGTAGGATATCTTGAATACTGCTTTTGCATCAAGCCCCTGAAAGCAGACTGTAACCTTCTCTCAGATCTTTAATCTCTTTCGGAATTCTAGGATGACGACAACCCACTTAAAATTTCAGGTCAATCATTATTTTCACCTAAAGTCTGGCCTTGGCAAAGCCATATAAATAACAGCATGATAATAGTGCACATTCAAAAAACAGAGAATCCGAAACCTGACCGATGATCTTTGTCAGACATGCTGCACTATTGACGGACGAGGCACCCGGAAGTTCATCTCCGCTAAATTAACAGCTGTTTTTAAGAACTGAAGCCCTTCAGTCATGACCTGTACTCAAACCTAGACTCTTCGACCAAAGCATAGTCTTTGGATTGTAGAGACGAAATTAATTTCCCTTCAACTCCCGTTTCGCTTCAAAAGCTTTTGGTTTACTTCAAAAAATGAATCCCACCCAAGTTGTAGCACCAAGGTAATCAATTTCCTAAAATTATTATCTTGAACACTTTCGTCAACCAGGAAGTCAACCCTCGCATTATTCATCTTGAGAAATCACGATTTTTTGATGTATTTTTTGCTCCGCTGACCAACAAACCTCTTACTAATACACGTCAACTTTGTCTACATGGCCAAGGTTATCATATTACATCATATTGCATCATATAAACTTTCAAAAAGGGTCTTTGGTGATTCATTTGACTTTTCACGGCCATCGCACTTTCATAAATAGCTTTTGAAAATCGTTGGTAACAATAGGTCTACCAGAAAGGCGACAGTATATCTTCCATTCAGAACTACAATGATTTACGTATGTTAGAGCTTTCCCTTATCCACACCAATAAAAGTCGCGCTACGTCAACAACAACAAAAATATATTGTCAGTGGAAAAATATTACAGCCACAAGTTCATCCACCCTCTTTTCGCTCACCATTCTGAATTTATAGTAATGCAGTATGATGCTATCACTATCTACGGAAAAAAATCTCGGGCTTTATCTCGGTAAAAAAACGCTAAGTTGACCTGAGGAATGTTTGCATAAGGAATGATAATAATATTGCCCTTTCTGCTCAAAGCAGATATTATGGTTCAAAGTTTGAAAGACAACAATTATCAACTGTCTTGCAATCTGACAGGGATCACGCAAATATTTTGAGAAAAAACAAAGCGTAATGTGACTTGGCAAAAACTTACAATGCACTTTTCAGGTCTCTATGAAGGTCTCTACAAAAATTTCAAGAAGTGATAGGCAGCGGAAAAGAAAAAAGTACAAAGAAAAAGACGACAATTTACACGTATTAGTTAGTTCCGAAAGTAAATTCACAAGTCTCAACCGAGCGCTACAAGGCCGGAGTAAGAATTTATAGGTGACTTGGGTTGCATTCGCTTTCCGTTCTTCTAGTCAAGCCTTCAGTTCATGCGACGAGGTTGTGAAAAATTAGCAAAATCCCAGAGCATGAGGTTTCTGACATTATCAATTTTCATCAATTTTCCAAGTTTCCAAACGAGGATCAAGAAGGATAAAGCAAAGTTAACAGGACAAAAATCCTACGAAGAGATTTTTTTTCAGTTTTCAGCAAATTCAGAGGTTTTTCATTATACTGACGTTTCGTGATGAGCGACCTAGTAACAGCAATAGTGGACTTTCTATTTTGAATCAAAGTTTGACTATTGTCGAACTACCTAGGCAACACTGTCAAGCTTTATTCGCGTTTATCCAATTCCAAAAATGTGGTTTATGGACCTGGTTCAAAAAGCCGATAAGAATTAGATTGCATTTTTTTAAAGATTTTATTTCATTTTCGCGTTTAGTATTTTCAAAAGCATTCGGGATTTCAACTTGAAAACATGACCATTGAAAAACGATGAAAAACTGCATCGAACACATCCCCCGATTATCAGTAAGTTCTTTCGAAGGATGTGCGCTCCGTCAAAATATGCGCGAAAATTTTGGAGACCTAATATAATTTACAGACCCCAAAAAAGTTGACAAAACGTGTGAACGTATAATTGTACCAAATTCGTCCCGCGAGACATCCTGTCTCAATCCCGATAAGGTCAAAATCTGAGTGATGCGCATCCGCATCGCATTTTGCGTCGCGTCTACTGCTTGCTTGTCCACTCTACAATATATTCGCTCTCTCCGACAGTCCGCATATGCAACGCTAGCCGCGCCGCGAGCGCGCAACTTTATGCCAACTTTTCGACCTTATCCTGATTGGGACAGACTGTACAGTCGCTTCATTTTGTATGATCATGTGTGCCATTGCACACACAGTCCACTTTGGCTTCCTCATCCTGGATTTGCGATCGCAAAAACGCAAGAGACTTACCGATTGTTATCGGTTAAATCAATTTGAGGTGGCTAGTAATTAAAAAGGAAAGAAAATGCTAAGAACACCTTGGAAACACCTGAAGGCTTGTTTCTCCCACGAATCCAAGATGGGAACGCCAAAGGTGAACTGTGTGTGCAGTGACACACATGATCATATGAAATGAAGCGACTATAAATAAACCCTCTGCCTTCGTCATCCACGAAATCCATAATCTTGCACCATCCATGCCTACCGAGCCCTACGTTCCACTCAAAGTTGGTAACTTTCAAGGATGACTGAGACTGTCTACGCGGGATTATGACGTCCAAATATGCGCAGAGAATGCGGACGCATGACACGGACACACAATATGCGGACACCCTCCATGAAGAGAGGTATATTCGAGCAGATGTGTGCAAGGAGCAACCAAACTAAAAGCTAGCACTAGCAAACTAGCAATTAATCAGTCGAATATTTGATTGATTAATTAATCAATGATGGTTTTTACTCTATGGATCCTCGTCTTTTTTTCAGCTTCCATCACAATTTTCGAATTCTACCACCTCTTAAAAGACTCTCAGTCTGCATCATATGCGCTTTTTCGACTTCACGAAAGTTACACTAGGATGTCGTAACGACTTTAAGTAATGCAAATGTTTGGCGTGAAACCCAGCTACAGCAGCATTCCTGCACCTTGCAAGAAACAGAAACCAAAACCCGTTGCTAGCACTGCAAATGGTAAACAATGATGTTGCAGATTCAGTGGTCCAGCCGAGTACTACTAAAGTTCACATCAAAATACATTCATCAACTGGGAGCCCCACTTCCTGGTTCATCACGTGAAATTGTTCTATGATATTTCCGCAGCGCTAGTATTTAGAAAAAAAGAGTTATGTGGCCAAGCCTGTCAGCGAGTTAATGCACTCCAGTTGATCTAACACAAACACTTCACATCTACAGATTGCAATCGTAGATGGCGATCGGCATTGATGAGAGAAAAGGAACACCAAACTGATTCTACGACCAGCTTCGATATGGTATATGGAAAAAACCATGATAAAACTCAAAGACAACCGTGGGATTCCAATGAAAAACTCAAGTGATGCACATTAGCAGTAGTATATTTATTAGAAATTGAAACGTGAAGAGATATCTTGAAGGAACATCATTGTACATTCCTCGTAAAAGATAGTGCCCTTAAAGCGGGCCGATACAGATCATGTGATAGGCATATACCCATCATAGCAGTCAAACTCAGCTTAGTGCTTTCAGAAAATTACCACAAATTTTCAACACATAAAAAACTTCACAGAAGCTGTAACAGGTAAATCCAAAAAAATGGGAAAGCACATGGCTGCGATTAATTCACTATATTTCTACACATTGAACATTTGGAAGCAAGTTTATGAACATTATTTACAATCCTCTTTCACTTTCATCAACATTAAGCTCATGCATGTGGCGGAGTCTTCCTGACTATCGTGCCCACTATCTAAAAAGTCATTGTTGAGGCTGCGTAAACCGACGTGAAGTGAAAGCAAGAAAAAAAAAACACCCACCGTCTTCTTGTATGATCTTCTGCAAATATTCACTTGCAAGATTCCTCAGTGCTCTTTTAAACGGGAATCCTTGCCTGAAAACAAATAATTGTTTACTGTGATATACGCAGGGTTGCGAATAGATGGCTGGGAGGGGGAGACTGGGGTGCCCGCAATTAGTAATGAACGCCGCATTTGAAAAAAAAAGTAAGGTAAACGGACAGAGAAAATTATATACGATGCTGCTGACCAGAATAACTCAGATTCAAATATAAAAACAAACTTTGCTAAAAAACAGAATGGCAGAGAGACAGTCACCTTTCACTTATGTAGAGCTATAAGGCACCATTCTTGTTTCTATGATGGTCACCTTGTTCATTGCCAGCTTTTGCCGCTTTTCAGCTATAGTTCTTACACGGGAAACAAGTAAATCCAGAGCAACTGGGAAAACATAGAACCGGGAAGGATTAGCTTTTTACCAACAACAGTTGAAACCACTTGTTTGAAGTTCACAGAATGCACATATTCAGCTGATAGTAGTAAATCCGAGATTTTTTGTTGAAGTCATTGTGCTTTACAGCATTTTACATATAGCTGATTCAAGCCAACAACAAGGTCAGCCCTAAGTGAGATAAGCCTGGTCTACCCAAAAAACAACAAACGACCTATGGCAGCTTCTTTGCCTCATATTAGAGCAAACCCCAGTTCTCAACAATTGTCCAGGCCAAGATACTCATAGCAGTGCTAACATACCTGTGTTCGAAAACTACCGCAGTGTCGACTACTCGTTCATGTCTCAGTCGCATTGCTTTCAGATCAGACTCAAGACTATGGCCAATGAGAATACTTCGCTCATTCACTAATTCGAAAAGGCGATTTTGGGCCTGAAAGCAATCAACGATTGCGATTCCACTCTACATGAGTTGTACGCTTACGCACTTCAAATAGGTCCACTTCGGAAGTCTCCACTTGATTAGCGGTCAGTCCAGAGAACCGCGTGTTGTAGTCGATAACCGTGTTATGAGGTTTTACAATGAGATCGAGTACCAATTTGTTGTCCATGTCTACGACTGATACACGGGCCAGTTCCGGTCCCCATACGCCATAGACCATTTCGCAGTCCATCGCGTACACCTGCAAGAACCGGATCACTCAGTCCTGCTTGTAAACCCACTCTGTATGGTATGGTAGCGACTTTTAACTCTAATGTAATCTCAAAGATCACAACGATGACAAGTAAAGCTATAGAAGATGATTTCCTAGACTATTTGAAGGAAGTTTAATGAGAGCAGAATGAAAAAAATCGAGGAACGATCAAATTACCAACCTTGTAGTTCCTGGGATCAGCTTCACCCTGAGAAACCGGAGTAGGGACAAATTCGCGAAGTGCTTCGGCATTCAAAGTGTCCGATACATGCGCTTCTGCAACGCAGCAACCAGGTGTAGTTCGGTCTGCGCCACAGCAACCAAAGTAAGATTCGCCACGCATTCCTGAAAAGATCCAGAGATGAGAGGAGACGGTTATAGGGTGAATTGGAACTCGCCTCCACGTCTTTGTAAGCCCTTGTAGTGGTAAATGCATTCGGCTGAGATCACTTTTCCTTTAGGATCCAAACGAAACTCTTTGTGACATCGCGAACATAATCGATCGAGATCTGAACTTATCTCATTAGACCTCACTACGAAACATGGGAAAAATTGATACTAATTAACATCCAAGAAAACGAGAATCTTAGACTGCTTTCCCAAAAAAAGAACACAAGGTTTTGAAGAGAAAGATTGCATTTTGATTTTCAGATCACTAAGGGAAGTGCTTTCAATCAAAGTGGCCTTTTCATACGCGTTCTACACATTTCGTAGTGAACGTTGATTCCGAATCTGTCTTCGCTATCTGCTGCGCACCTCTAAACGCCAAATTATGAGCGTTTTATAGGTTGGAAAAAATGAATGCTTGATCAAAACCAAACACGCTTCAGAGTGAGCCACATCGGATATCAGGGCTAAGAGTACATTTTATTTGCTGGAGTCTTACTTAGAACGGCTCCATTTCTGGGCCTGGAAAAACCGTATTGTTTGATTTTCTCTGAATTTAGCGTCGATTTTTCGCTCCAAAAAATGCTCATAACTCGGCGTCCATGGGCAGCAGATACGGAGAACGGATTTGGAATCGGCGCTCAAGACTCTATAAAAATCATAGATTTCATTTGCAAAGGCCACTCCAACCATAAACACTTTCTTTGTTGAAGAAACGCTAGAAATAGGAATTGGCTTGCTCCCTCTAATGCTTCGTGTACCTAGTGTGATTTTTGAAAAAAAAAATTACAGCAAGTACTCGTGGTTATGTTGTAACGTGTCACCTGCCGAAGTACGTCATTTCAGCGTGAAAAAAAAATCGGATGAAAACAATGGGCAATGACAATGGGCGAAATAATGCGATAAGAAGCTTGGTGATTAAAGTCAAACATCAGTAGAATAATAGAACAGTAGAATGCCATTTTTTTTTATTCAGATGCAATCAAATCCTCTCCAAAAAAATCAAAGGAGAAGTCAATCTACTCATATTGATAGGAAACAAAAAAATTCGCAATCAGTTAGTACACCTTTTTATCAGTGATGGTCCCAGGAAAGTTCGAAGAGGTGGGAGAGGGGGGAAGGGGGGGGGCGGGGAGAACGATAGCAAATTTTTTTGAATGAAAGTGCTGGCATTACCACCCACCCCGAAAAATTTCTTGAAGCTTCATAGAATTTCGCGGACCCATAACGCCGACATATTAGAAAAAGGGGGCGTGGCTGCCTCTGCACCTCCGAGAAGAATTTTTTCATGAAGCTAATCCAAATTTTTAAGAAATTCCAAAAATTACCTGAATTATCTACAGGTATGGACAAGTCATCTGTACATTTGTAAAGCCTGCGGTAACTTTAAAAAGATTTCTTGACCCATTCCCCCCCCCCTCCTCGGGCAGCCACTGACTTCTACACATCTACGCATGTCAAGCAAAAGAAAAACCCCACTATAAATGACAACTACTCAGTTATACGTGCTGCACTATCAATCCACCTCAAAAACGCCTAGTTCGCTGAGTACAACAAAAAACGATAGCTGGGAAAAAAGATGGTAACTGGAGAACCACAAACCAACGTAAAACCATAAGAAACTAGATACTGCAGGGACACGTGGAAGCTAAGGAAAAAACTGACAGATGTCACACCCTGCGTCACCCCTGCCTGCTATGTTTTCGCCAAGGATACATTCATATTCCACCACCTTCACATAGCATGCAAAAAAAATCGCAAGCGCCAGCATTTAACGGAAAACAATGACTCAATGAGAAATCACGTTTCGCAACCACAATAATTCCCATCTTATCAACGACGACATGTATCGCTGAGTAAGGATGCATGCACCATTATTCATAAAAACATAAACAGCGTACCATCTTTAGCCGCCCACGACTTCTGCGATTTCGATATCTCAAAGTGACTTTGCGCGATCGATACCAGTCGTTCTTCACCAGGAACAGCTCGAGGATAGCTGAATGAGCGGAAGTGAGCGAGTCAAATCAAACATTGCCTGAAAAACCTTGGCTTACCCATTTCTAGTCAACTGTTCATCGGTCATAAGATATTTGTTGATGAGAAGGTTGTAGAACTCCTTCTCGCTCAAAGAAGGAGCACTGTTCTTGCTGGATTTTCGAACTCGTACGGAGATGTCATTTACATGGCGTCCAGCCAAAACCGCGTCATGTGAAAGCGCTGAAAAAATGCACGAAATCACAAACCTGATAAAATAGCCGGATACCGATGCTATGCTATGTAAATAAAAGTGATTTACTTGTGATAAGATAATGTAAACTTTCTTTTCAGAATCAAACAGATGTTTGTTAGATAGAAGTGAACAGAGTTGCAAAGAGTGGGCCTAGTGCCTGATGTATAAATAGTAAAAAAAACGCTTTCATTCAGCGGAACGAACACTTTTAAAACAAAGAGGTCGTACACTAAAACTGCAGTCAAAACGAGGCATGGGATTTGTGCCATACTAAGTCTAAATGAAATAAAACAAGGATGAAGCTTCACGATAGCTCACTTTGATTTTCCCAGAATGAATTGTAGTACCTAACGGGTCCCAGATTTTTTCGCCCACTGCCAAAAAATCCACCGAATAAACCTTCAAGGTATTATTGCAACTTGTGAAAGACTTTAATTATCAAGGATAAAATTGCTGAACCCAAATATATATCTTTGACCAGCTCCATACATAAAATACCAAAAATTTGTAGACTAAAATCAAAATTTTTTTTACTAATTTAGTTTGACTACATAAAGTTACCATTACCTACAAAGAAGGCAACTCAACCGCTAACCGGTTCCTGTTGACAATTAATTGGCTTGTCTCCCTGACAAGTTTGCATTTCCGCAAACTTAGCAACGACATGAATGTTCATTACGAATTATTCTCAGATATAAGTAAGCAGCACAACGGGAACAGGCGCAATTTATAAGAAAGTGATCTAGAACTCTAGTTAGACTCCCCGCTACATATAACCGAGAGCTGATGGCTGCAAACCTAGTAACCACGGAGTCTGCAAAAAAATGTAGCACTCTCACTCACACGGCAGCAACCAATCGGCATATAACACATAGATGCTACCGTAAGCTTCTGCTGTGTAGTCACTGTCGAAAATAAATTCGCGCCTATTTTGCTATACACTATGTACAACAGTCTTTTGCGTCACAATATACGAGCATTTACATGAGTGTGACGTAGTTCCACACATCCACAATGACCGAGTATCAATTCACTTACATGTACTATCACGCCTGATAGGATGGCATAACCAAATGGCGATGACGCAGGGATTTTATGATTAGCAGTTTTAGAAAGTGTGTGATGAAAATCTCACATGATATACTCAGAACATATGCAAAATCTTGATATGGGAGAATAGAAAAGAAAGAAGAACAGTAAGTAGAAAGTAAGCAGGAGGATATACAAATACTAAAGTTACTGAGAGTCTTGAGCTTCAAGATGAGTTGGCATTATGCCCAGTAAGAGACGTGCACGTTTATACAAAACACTACAGTCTCCGTGTACTTGTGTGAGTTTATCGCATAAACTTATCGAAAAGACTTTATCACTATCACAACACTAACCTAGACGTCGTGGATGATAGAAGCCAAGTTGACAGCATTCGGCAGGTCGATAATTTCTTCTAAGATTCGGGTAGTCACGAGCCACCATGACTACGAGCAGACTCTTCGATAGTGCGAGAGACTAGGTGTGTACGAGGAACGGAGGCACTCGGGCCGCTTATATGAAACGTGTACTTCAATTGCACTCTGAGCTGGGCGTGGAGGGGGAAGTGCACGCGGGTCCGGGCGCGGCAAGGATCAGAGGCTAGACGGGCGGGCAAGTTCGACTTGAGTGTGCTGCGGGTGATGACGGCGCGTCGTATTAATTACGAGGAGGCGGGCCGGAGTCGAAAACATGGAAATTCGTGCCGGCCTCTGCTGCACCGCGAAAAAACAGCAGCGAAAACAGTATTAGCAGCCGCGTACGGAGCGTGGAGGGTGTACGGAGTGGACAATGACTCAAATTCGGCTTTATCAGCACTGAAGGTCCCGCACAGGTCCTGCTATCAAATTATTCGCTCAGCGTTGTCTTCCATTCTTAGAAATGGTTCTTCTAAAGCTTAGAAGGCACGTGCTGTTCGCTATGATATCACAGCAGAAAAAAGAAATGCCTAGAATAGCAACAGTCGGCGTTACGATTCCGCCGCTTCAAAATAAACATTACAAGCAGAGAAATAAAAATAGTACAGCGCTACCGGATTCATGTGTTTGAAAGCATTCCCAGCCCAAAAGAGGAGATGAAAACAAGTCCTGTACTTCTCATGTTCACGTATTTCATTGCTCTTGTTTCTTACAATCCTTACCATTTAGAAAAAAGTCATAAATGACTGTATCGATATCAACACAATCTCACCCACTAACTTTCTTTCTCAGCAACCGTGCAAGGAGAGAAATCCAACGTTTTTCTTTGCACAAAGAGAAAACCTTTGATATTGACTGTATTACTCACTCTCTTCCATGCAAACCAAGGAATTAGTGTAATATGAGCATGACTATTTACATCTCAATTTACTGAAGTCGTGACTAGTACCGAGCTGAGCCGAGCAGCACTCAGATTTTGTCTTACTCATTATGCAAAGACAGCTGATATAACGAACCCAACGCTAAGAATGTCGCGTTCATCCCAAGCACTAGGGCGTAGGACGTCTTTGACAAACAGTGCTCATTTTCGCAATTCTTCCTTTCTGCAAGCACAAGTCTGTTCTCAAACTCCGTACCGCTCTGTGAGACGCGCTTCACTTTTGATTCGATATGGAATCTATAGGTATCAGAGATATAATGATAAGATCATAAGGTAAACTGAATCTAACACCTTTATGAAAAGAAGTCAAGTAATATGTAATACAAAAGTATACTCATAAATCGTCAATTAGCGAATCAAAAAAAAATTAGAAATGCTGTATATTCAAGATCGCATCTTTGTACCAAACTTCACTCTATCTCCTTTTACATCAAAATGCAAACAATATGATCAAAATAGCAGCCCTCGTCAAGACCGTAGGCATCTCATCCTGTTTCACACACTTCCCTTATCAAGAGTAAAGTCTATCATAAAGATGTTTTTGACTAGTAGACTGATCATTATCAGCTCGTCTTCGAGCCTATTAGATTTTGTCAAAAGCTAACTATAAAGAATTCGTTCCGTGACTCTATCGCTCAGAAGTGACAGCACTTTAGACAAACTTAGCATATGTTTGTTTTCAACATTCTGGTGAATGACGTATATGACAAGACTATAGGAGCCTCAAAGCATGACCATATGATGAGCAAAACATCTACTGATTGAAAACACTTTGTGGTGTTTTATTGCGAATTTCCATCTTTTGCAAAAACACTTGTAATGCTTCAATGCAACTCCAAAGTGTTGATCACTATAGAAAGCGTGTACTTTCAAAAAATCACTTCTTTAGAGCGTAAAAAAGCTCTTGCTATGGTGAAACAAGAAAAAAGAAAATTGTTCTCGTCTTCTTTGATCAGTAGTCAAGTTGCCAAGTCCCATAGAACAGAGACTGATATGGTCAGATCAAGTAAAGTTTTCAGCTGTAAGCTTTTTCAACCGCTATCTATTAAAAAACTTATAATATGCACTTTGCTGAGCTTTATGCTTTATTCCTTCGAGACCTTAGGAACCTACATGGTAGTGGTCGACTATAGGTAACACCACTCCCTAAAAGGCACCTCCACCATAAGTTAGGGATCTTGAGCTTTTGACAGCATACGAGAGCGGGGCCATGTAATCGAATGCTCAAGTCGCGGCGCAAAATCTCGCTTCGAAGCGAGAAAATCGCTCCGGACCAACGAAGAGAATAGAAAATCCCTAAGCACGCCCCCTCCAGTAATGCCCGCCGAACCAAACACCGTTCAGATCGTCCTGCGGGTTCTCCAAAACGGGGATTGTCGGCGCGGATTCTCGACTTCAAATTCGGAACCAGGGACATGAGAAGGCCTCGGAACGAAAAATATGGAAGTCGAGAATCTGGGTGGACGTACCAATTGTCCCATGCCCCACTTGTGTCAGTACCCTGTCCCCGATGTATTCGTAAATAACGAACTCACTCCATGCACCAACTTCGTCCCCACACCTCGAAGTCCACAACATAACTCTCGTATGATTAAACATAAAAATGGACACAGTTTTTTGTTGAACGAATTAGAAAGAATATGATTGCCGAAACAGCTAAAATCGCAAAATTTGTCCTGCGAAATTTGCTCTAATTTTGGCTGTTATATCTTCAACCCCCAACATCAAGAAAACAGAAGCCTAGACAACAGTTTCCTTAGTATGAAGAAACAGCTATGAATATGACAATTACTCGCAGACTTTCATGAGTGAACCGTAAGATTACTCACAGTAAAAACTCGCGTACCGTGATTTGAGCTGTTACCTCTTCTTTTGATGAAATTTGTGAAGAAAACAAAGGAATATCTTAACAACCATATGTTCATCCACCACCTACATCTGCCCTAACTTGTACAATATTGTAGTTGCACAATAGTCACAATACCGTGCCTTCCAAGCCTGACAATGAGACCAAAAATTTCAATTGGCCGAACTATCACGAACTTCTACCAAAAAAAGATCTGACGTATGGTTTTGACGTAATCAATTTCTCGAGAACTTCAAATTTTGAATCAACAGTTATACGTATGAAAGGAACTGATTTTGTGGTAGCATGTATTAGCATAGAACAAGTACAAACTTCTCACAATGTGATCTCATGAATACGCGGCATAATCTCACTAGGCGAAAAAGGGCAAAACAAAGCAGAAATTTACAATGCCTATGAAGCCAAAGATTTTGAGAACAGCAACGAATATCAACACATCACGATTTAGAAAGGTCAAACTACCGAGAAAACTCATTTATACTTTGGTTTTTGACTTTTCCATGAACCTAATAGCCTAAATGCATATGTATGAATCGGTCATTCTACCACTTCTGAACTTCTCATAGACTTCGGCTTCCCCAGAATGTGTTGCATTATTTGACAGTTTTTTTTTTTTGTAGTTTTACGGAATGACCAAAAACTATGCAACAAAAAACGAAGTTTTTACATGCGATTTTTTTCGATGACGGCTACGATCACGCGCTATTCTCGCAGTTATATGCTATACTGTCACGT